GATTAGTGGTCAATGAAAGCTTTTTCCTGCCCGCGGGAGAAGTGTGAACTTTCTCAGCATTGCTTTGTTGAAATGCTGTTGTCAATGTTATTTAACTTCTACCAGCACTCTGGACCATATTTATATAGGAATTTAATATTTCAGATTTTTAGGGCTGGGCGATATAATCATAATATATTAAAATTGATATTTTAATTTTAAAAAATATATTAAATTTTATTATTTAATTTTTCAGTCTTTTGACCATGTTTAGTGTATATTAATATTTATATATTTGAATTTAAAGGCTGATTTATTTTAGTAATTTCAACCAATTAGATTAAAAATGTTTAATGCAAGATGTAAAATACAGTAAACCGTTATAACAAAACATGAACTGAAATATTATCATATGAAAAATCATTGAATCATTTGAATCGATTAATTGAAACTGTTTGAACTGATTCGTGGAAATGAATCAAACTTGCATTTTTCTGGTACTGAAGTTCAAAACTTAATGGCCAAGTAATATCATCACAATTTTGCATCAGTTTATGAATATATGATATTTTGTAAACACAAGAGCAAACAAATCATTGAATAATTTGAATCAATTAATTGAAACAGACAGTTTGAACTACTGAAGTTCAAATCAGAAACTTAATGGCCAAATAAAATACATGATATTTTGTAAACGAGCAAATATAACACACACAAACAACTCATTTAATCATTTGAATCGATTCATTGTTCAGACAGTTTGAACTGATTCATGGAAATGAATCAAATTTAATTGCGTTTTACTACTGAAATTCAAATCATAAACTCAATGACCAAACAAAATCATCATAATCTTGCTTCAGTTTATGATATTTTATAAACAAACAAAAAAAAAAACAAATATAACACACAAACAAATCATTGAATCATTTGAATCGATTCATTGAAACTTCTGAAGTTCAAATCAGAAACTTGATGGCAAAATAAAATAACCAAAATCTTGCTTCAGTTAATGAATTCATGATTTTATTTTTTTTTGTGAGCACTTAAACATGAAAACAAAACACTGAATCGATTCATTGGAACAGACAGTTTAATATGATTCATGGAAATGAATCAAACTTGTTTGTTACTGCCACTAAAGTTCAAATCAGAAAATTAATGACCAAATATAATCATTGCAGCCTTGTTTGATTTTATGAATTAATTAAATGAGAAAATATAACATGCAAATCATTGAATCATTTGAATAGTTTCACTGAAACAGACAATTTGAACTTCTGAAGTTCAAATCGTAAGCTTAATGGCCAAATAAAATGAACGCAATCTTGCTTCAGTTAAAGAACTTATGATATTTTGTGAACGCTTAAACAAATATAACATGTAAACGAATCATTGAATCATTTGAGTCGATTCATTGAAACAGACACTTTGAACTGATTCATGGAAATGAATCAAACTCACTTGTTAGTTAAAATCACAAACTCAATAGCCAAATAACATCACAGTGTTGCTTCATTTTATAAATAAATGATATTTTGTAAACGAAATATATATCGCCCGGTCCTACAGAATCAACTGAGACTGAACGAACAAACACACTGGTGTCAAAGGTCATGATGATGTCATATAGAGCCAAGTACTCGCTTTTTACTCAATCCTGTTATTAGCAGATCACGCCGAGGGGCTTTTTATTTGATGTTTCATATTTGAGCTCATTCAGCCAGTGGTTTTCCTCGTGACTGAAGCTTTTCTCCGGTGTGATGGTTCCCGTGAGCTGACAGTATTATTATTATTATTATTATTATTAGAGTTTTCGCTCTCAGTGGTTTCTCTCAGCAGTACTGAAGCTCATGCATGCATACTGTATTTGCACTTACATCTTTGTTTGTACAGTATCGTGTAAGAATATAGATATACGTTTATATATGTGTATAGAAATGTCGTTCGCAAACACACGTTTCTGTGCCAAGCACTATTATGGGAGAGCAATGCAATGTGGAGATTTTAATATCGTCAGATGTTTTATAAAAGCCTTTAGCTGCAGCTACGAACCCCGGAAATGCACCATTTCTGACAGCTGGATTTGTTCTTGTTTTAATGGGAGTTCTGGGTTTCTAAAGGAGCAGCTCAGGAAAGCGTGCCGCAGATGTACAGTAGTGTTTGTGAAGGTGTAACAGATCTGTTTCCACACTGCCACATTCATTCACGGACACAAGAGCGAGCGGCTCGTCTGAATGTGCTGTGACTGAACACACAGCTTGTCTTATATATCTATATATCTATCTATGGCACTTGTGTTATTTTGTGATTTTTTCCAAGTGCAGAACAGACTGTGTGTCGTTCACAGATAGAAATTGGCTGTCTTATGGCTTGGTGAATCTCATAAAAAATGTCGGTCACACATTTCACCCCAACGAATAATAAGTAAATAAATAATGAAAAACATCCTGACCCGACAATTTTTTTTCTTTTCTTTTCTCTTTTATTACTATATTTTTTTCTTTTCTTTTCTTTTTTTTTTTCAGTACAACAAATGTCTGGGTCACCGTGTGTAAATATATAATGAAATTTTTTTTTCTTTATTTTATTTTCATTTTATAAAATTTTATTCAGTACTACTATGACATATGGTTCACAATTTAAACAACATTTAATAATTTTGATTTTATTTTTTGTTTGGTAAAATTAAATTTAGTACAGCAAATTCTGCCATGATGTAAGGTTCACAATTTAAATACTTTTTTATTAATATTATTATTTAATTTATTTTGTTTTCATTTTAATTTACTTATTTAAAAAATGTATTTGGGGTAAAATATGACCTGGATCTTTTTATTATTATTATTTGTGTATTTTTTATATTTAATTTAATTTGATTTGATTTTATTATTTTTTTTTACAAAATTACAGTCAGTACCACAAATATTATCATGACGTATGGTTCACAATTTAAATAATTTTATAATTTTGATTTTATTTTTTATTTGGTAAAATTTAATTCAGTACAGCAAATACTGCCATGATGTAAAGTTCACAATTTAAATGCTTTTTTATTAATATTATTTAATTTATTTTGTTTTCATTTTAATTTACTTATTAAAAAAATCCATTTGGGGTGAAATATGACCTGGATCTTTTTATTATTATTATTATTTTGTGTATTTTTTATATTTTATTTAATTTTATTATTTTTTACAAAATGACAGTCAGTACCACAAATATTATCATGACGTATGGTTCACAATTTAAATAATTTTTAATAATAATTTTATTTTTTGTTTGGTAAAATTAAATTCAGTACAGCAAATACTACAATGAGGTTCACAATTTAAATACTTTTTATCAATATTATTATTTAATTTATTTTGTTTTCATTTTAATTTACTTATTTAAAAAATGTATTTGGGGTAAAATATGACCTGGATCTTTTTATTATTATTATTTGTGTATTTTTTATATTTAATTTAATTTGATTTGATTTTATTATTTTTTTTTACAAAATTACAGTCAGTACCACAAATATGATCATGACGTATGGTTCACAATTTAAATAATTTTTCATAATAATTTTATTTTTTGTTTGGTAAAATTAAATTCAGTACAGCAAATACTACCATGAGGTTCACAATTTAAATACTTTTTATCAATATTATTATTTAATTTATTTTGTTTTAATTTTAATTTACTTATTTAAAAAATGTATTTGGGGTAAAATATGACCTGGATCTTTTTATTATTATTATTTGTGTATTTTTTATATTTAATTTAATTTTATTATTTTTTTTACAAAATTAGTCAGTACCACAAATATTATCATGACGTATGCTTCACAATTTAAATAATTTTTAATAATAATTATTTTTTGCAAATTAGGAAGGGTTTCTTTGTGATTGTCATGAAAGTAATGTCATAATGTGACAAAATATTTATGTGAAAATGTAGTATGAATAATATTTATTTGAATCTTTTTTTTTCTTTTTTCTTGGACAGTTTTTATGAGATTCACTCAGTTTGGTGAATTATTGTGAGGTTTGCTGGGGATGTAAAACACACGGAGGGTCCTGGTGGATTTAGGCTGGTCTTGTAAACAGATTATTTTCAGTATGGATGAAGCTGATCTGACCTGCCATTGCAGCACAGAAAGCCACTGAGAAGACCGACATTTTGGGGTGTTGTTGTAATCTGCAAATGTAAATATAGATATGCTCTGAATATAAGACTTAATGTTAAAAAATTCAAAGCAATATATTTACAGTCTGTTGCTATAGAAACCACACGTCTTTTCTATAACCTGCATTTTTACAATAATGTTCAAAAGCAAATGTCAATAAAAGATTTATGTAACATTACATGCTCCTTACATGTTTATGTTTTATCTATTGAAGTCCCCCTAAAAAGGGCCTAGTAACAGCCCTGCTATACCCCATTGACAATAATGCAGGGGGGAATTCGAAGCTGGATGTGACAACACGCAGACTGTAAAAAAAAAAAGTTTACGGCAAGTAGGTATGGATTTTTTTTCCGATCCTATACGGATATTTTATCATCGATATTGATACCTCTAACATGTCATGAACTGTTACCATTTTATGCTGAATAAATGAAAATCTAAATGACTTTTATTTAGAGTTTGGGATAAATGTTGTCAGTAGTTTACATAATTAAAAAAAAAATAATTCATTTTACTCAAACCCATACCTATACATCGTAAAACCAGAGGAAGTGATAATTTGGCAGTGGTCTCGATTTTTTACAGGCTATGCTTTACCATCAACTAGTCAAGTCAAGTCAAACCACCTTTATTTGTATAGTGCTTTATATAATACTGATTGTGTGAAAGCAGCTTTACAGAGTCAAACAGGAAAATAGCTTGTCAATAGAGCAAGAATACAATAACAGTCATTTTTCCAGCTAAACTAAAACAAAATATACTAAAACAAAGTACAATCACAAACCACCGTTACCAGCTTTTTTGTGTTTTCCAAAACATTTAAAGGGGTCATAGGATGCTACATACACTTTTACAAGTTGTTTGAACTGAAATGTGTGTTGGCAGTGTTTTTACATTAACCCGCTTAAATGTTTTCCCCTTTCTCAAATCGAGCCGATCTCAGATGCCTGTCTGTGTGACATAGTGTCATTGCCATCTAACCTAGAACAGATAAAGCAGATTACAAAAAATTTGAGCTTGAGTACATAGAGATTGTTTTTTATAGAATTCAATGCATGTTAATGTAATGTCATAATATCTCTCATATTTAGCTGCAGAGTAAGCAGTTTAGCTGCAAATCATCATCAAAATATAGTTATATAATATATCAAAATATACTCAAAATAAACTCATATTTCTACTGCCATAGAGTATATATTGTCAAAACATCATACATTCTGAAATGTCTTTAAAACAAGGATATTTATAAGCAAGACATTTAAAACAACAGTTTTGAATATTTAGAACTCATTTCTAATTTACCTTCTCCTTTTGTAGCGCTGCCAAACTATCAGAACTATAACTACAGCTAGAAGTACTACTGCTGCTACTCCTTTTATATCAGGCCATTTGGATTCTTCACAGTCAGTGCATTTTACCACTGCAAAAAAAAAAGAAAAAAAAAGAACAAAGATAAAAAGGCATGACCAGCAACATTAATCCATTTCAGTATTGCCATATTGCTACATATTGAGTGACTTGTTATATTGAAGTTTCATCTGTTATGCACAAGCATCATTAGTGTAGAAAGCTCATTCTGCTCATATTCACTTAAAACTGAATTTCAATCATGACAACTCTCGGAACATTTTAGCATGGTGATGGATGTGACAATGTTAATGTATTTGGTCTTGGCGGAACAGATCTGCTACGCTGCTGCTGAATCGCTGCTGCTGTTGGTTATTACTGTTGTTGTAGATTATTGCGTTTATTATTAGATTATTGCATCAGTTACGTTAACACCCCGTCAGAATGCGCCATCTAGAGTTTCATGACTGAACTATACATTTATGTGATATTTACTCCATCCTGCTGAAACTGCTTCTGTCAGGCTGCTGTGAATGACAAAACAGTCATAAATCCCTTCATGACTTCTGTCGATCTCCACACTGGTTCTCATCTGAAAGGATCCATCATCATTTGGTCTGATTCCAGAAGATGTCTGATCTTTAAGGACAGTTTTGTTAAACCTAATGTCCATCTCAATATCTCTGGGGTAAAAGCCAGTGGTCAGACAGATCAAAACCTGCTTATTTTGATCATTAGGAGCTTTCCTCAAAGTGATGTGAACATTTGGTTTACCTGGAGAAGAAAGAAGCAGAAAATCTAATTATTTCCAAATAATCTGGTTCTGTGTGCTGTGAAAGAAAAAAAAGTTCTGTTGTAGAGAACAAAGTAAGTTTACAGATTTGGAACAACATGAGAATAAATAATGTAAATGATGACAGAATGATCCCTTTGTGGGTGAACTATCACTTTAACCAAAGATTTGGTGCATTAATCTAATACAGAGCTTCCCAAATTTCAGGCGGTGTAAGACATAATAATAATAATAATAATAAATAAATAAATAATATACAAGTGTTTTGACACAAAGGGCTGCTTATTAAGAAAGAACTGCAGACCTGAGAGCAATGAAGGTACAGCTTATTTGCTAAAATGTAAAGAGCAAAATAAGCAGGTACAGCAGAGTCCCGACTGGCAGAGCAGCAGTGAAGAGAAACGGGAAACTCTAGTCAGACAAGGATCTGAACCAGGAGATTCACCTGAGGAAGCAACCATAGACAACAGGGCTAGGAAAGAGCAGATCCGCACACCAGGCAGAAAGCTAAAAGCATGTTAACCACCGATGACAGGGCAGAGCTAGAGAGCAGAATCCAACCCAGACACAGAAAGCCTGAAACAAAACACGCATACAATGAAAAGGAGCAATAACATTTTCAGAAATGAGAACTCATTATCAGTATTTATTTGCTATTGAATGATGATAAATCACCTCTTTTAAAACAAGAATTAGTTATTATTACTTTACTTATTTATTATGCATTTAGAACTTACTCTTTCTGGTGTGGTTAAATGTGGAGATCCAGTTCATGCAGTTCTTGAGGTAATGTTTGAGGAATTGGTTTCGTTCTGTTTGCTGATCCCATTTCATTTTGGTTTCTTTAGCTTTAGCTTTGGGGTTTTTCTCAATCCACTGCAGAGTTTCAGAATCAAGGGCCATAAAATCCTCTCCATCAAATCCATATTCATCAAATGCTCTCAGACTCACTGTTCCATCAGGAAGCTTCTCCAGTTCACAACCAATCATTCTCTGAAGAACATGGAGCTCTACAATCACAGAACAACACTCACGATACATTTGCAGTACATAAAAAATACAAGAAATTTCATAACATGCCTGATAATTGATGACTAAAGCATGAAACTCACCAGAACACTGAGAGTCTGTGCAGTTTGACAGAGTGTTTAACTGATGTAGGAACCAGTCTCTAGAATCAGGTGGTGCTTCAGGAGCTTCAGTCCAGTTATCTTCAGTCAGAATCCAGACTCTTTTTTCATTACTGTAGTGTTTGATCTGTCTGCCATCAGCAACAGCTCCAGCACTGAACTCTGGGAAAGTGTCTGCTTTGGAAAGAGCTGTAAACTTGTAGAGGAGGGAATGTTTCTCTGAGGAACAAACAGTATAAAACACAAGCAATGACAAAACGTAAAAGGACTGACAAATGGTGGATAAACCTGAAAACAAACTCTAAAGTACACTGAAAAATTTTACATAATATTTTATATTATTATAAAACTATTTATAGTGTGTTTGTTAGTGACTGCAGTTTGTAGGTCGCCATTTTTACCGGTGTAATGCTGCGTTCACGCCATATCGTAATTACCTTAATTTCGAAATGACAGCACGTGACGTTCTACTCGGAGCTGTTCACGTCCTCGGACTCGGAATTATGCTTTTTGCCTTGACCAAATACCCACACATGCGGTCTTGGCCACTTGAGAGTGCATGCGCCGCGACAGGAAGTGCGCAAAACTGTCCCAGGTCTTAAAGGGGTCATATGATGCAATTTCAATGTTTCCTTTCTCTTTGGAGTGTTACAAGCTCTTGGTGCATAAAGAAGATCTGTAAAG